TTTAAGGAAACAGCTCCTCTCTCCTGTTTTCCTTAACCCTGGTTCCTATCTTCTCTTTGTTAAAGATACCTGGTGTAACCTCCTCAAAGAAGTCCAGCCTTTCCCAAAGCTTGGAGAGATGCTGCTTTCAAGAAAGTAGTTTGGAATTGTAGTTCTAAAGACAACTCTGAGACTATGAACACAGCAAGTTGTTGGCAAGGTTAGGAGAAATTAGGGAGCATAAAAACACTCATGTCTCACACATCACATATTATGGTAATATGTGTTAAACATTATCACATATTTTTGCTATAGAACTGCATACATATATTCTTTTACAGACATGGTGCTAAGTATATTTATATATTTATATTTGCAGATAATGAGTCATAAAGTTCTATATATAACTATGTATGTGTGTGTAAAGAGACTATATATACTGTACCTATATGTAAGCAGCACTATACATTTGGTTCTTTTTGAGAACTAAGACTACGCTAAGCCCTTATGCTTATATAAGTGAACATATGTATTTGTTTTTATAAACTTAGTATCATGACCGTGAGATGAAACAGGACTCTAGGATATTAGACAGTACTTTAAGACCTCATATTAAGCTGCAAGGCCAGGGAAGAAAATAGTCTGATTCTCTAATTCTGAAGCTAAGTAGAGTCTTCTGAAGGGTCTGACTCTAAATATGAGAAAAGCTTTCTCTTAAAACCAAAAAATACCAATCATTCTATGCGTATACATTCTTCTTTTGAATGCTATGTGACCTAGAAATCTAGTTTTATTTGCCAAAAGCACAGAGAGGAATCAGGCTTGTGCTTCCATATGGGATTCATGCAGGCCTGGGCCTCCATGAAATTTGGTTGAAGGTGGCAGGCTAGTGGCTATCTCTGTACTATCCCTCACATTGAATTTAGCTGGTAAAGGAGAAACAGTAATAAAAACAATAAAGATGTATTTTCTATTGCTATTCTGTGACAGAAACTCTTCTAATTGCATTTAAAAATTAATGTTACCCAATGTCAAAGAACACTAACATAAAATAGGGAAATTAGAAATTGATTTTCTTTTCAATGGATCATGAAGATTATTTCATGAGACAACTCTACCATTCAGTAACTTTTCCCCTTTCTGAAATGCAATGACTTTCTAAAAGCCTCCACATGTATAATGTAATTCTAAAATTGAATAGTTACATATCCTTACCCCATACCAAATCCCAATAGATATTAATGTTTTGGCATACAGAAAGTACCAGAACTAAGAAAGTCATGCTTAACATGAGTAGAAAAATAGGACTAATTAAATTAGCTTTGACCATTAAATCATCTTCTGGATAAGATGTCTGGAATACTTTGATATTTGTATCTTGAATCTTCTTTTTTTTCCTAATGCCTTCCATAATAATTTTAGAGATATGTGCCTATATTGGCATATAAGATTTTAACAGATATTTGAAAAAAATGATCATTTATACATGAATCAGACTGCAACCGTTTCATGAGAAAATTAACTTTTGAGAACAAAATCAGTGCCTGATTAGTTCTGTAACTCATCACATGTAGTCCATTGTCTTATATATCATGCCTGTTTAATAAATGGAAATGAGTTAAGCCTATATTCACTGAATTTTTTTTAATACAAAAATCGGGGAAATAGTGTACGTTAGTTACCTAACTTCTTTTTGTCCACATATACTATGACAGTTTGATAGTTTTAATTTCTTTGAGATTTCACTACCATTCCTTGGGTTTAACCACTTCAGCACTCACAGTGACTATGCTTCCTCTTGGTCTCATCACGTGAAAAAAACTTCAGAAAGCAGAGGCATTTACCATCAGAAGTGTTAATGGGTGACCTTTCCATTCTACTGAATTATAACCTTAAAGTTTCCATATCAAGCAAATGAATATAAGGCTGGTGAGCCCTGAAAAATAGAGAGGGACATAAGCATGAACATATGAGCCATCCTTTCAATAAATCAAGGTGAAATCAAGGTAAAGACAATATAGGTGCTTTAAAAGAGTGTATGTTTTTGAAAGTTAAAAGTAGACCTATCTCATAGAAGGAAGAAAAACTTTGTGAATGAAATAACATTTAAACTATATCTTAAAGGAATAAAAGTGTGACAAGTAGGAATAAAATTAGAGGAATAAAAAGTGTGACAAGGTAGGAAAATGTGATACAAGGCAAATTTGCAAAACAATGCTATTCAATTTGTCTAGAAACATAGGTAGCAAGCTGAGGAAGTCATTTTTAGAACTGACTACAAGAGATATTGAACGCTACCATTAGTTTATACTTGTTTTAGTAATGGAAATCACTGAAAGTTTTTAATCATAAAAATAATTACAGGCCTTCCCTGGTGGCGCAGCAGGTTAAAGCACTGAACTGAGAAGCTTAAGCTACTTCCACATGAGTTCAATCTCCACCTGCCCCAGAGGGGACCACATGGCGTGGCAGACCTCTCCTGATCGGCCTGCTGCTCCCTTCAGCAGTGTACTTCGTCTATCTGCCTGTTCTGCTCCCCACTCTGTCCCTGGTGAAGCCTCTCACCCTCTGCATCTCTGGCCTGTACCCCAGTTCTGTATGAATTAATAAATAAATCTTCAAAAAAAATAAAAAAAATTACAAGTATTTTGTGTATGCTCACTATGTTCTGGTCTTTGTACCAACATATTATTCACATATCATCTTATTTCAGTCTCAGAAAACCCATCTAACTATCTAACCCATCTAAATTGCTACTTCCACAATTTTTTTTTTAATTTTATAATTTATTTATTTAAATATAGTTTCCATCATTGTTCATTTTTTCAACAGTGTTTGCTTTTTTTTATCAGGGGTAGTCCCCATAGAATTGCCACCAACAATTCACCTGTGCGCCACCATCATAGTCCTTTGTGCTCTTCCCACCCTTGCTTTGAACACTTTCCTTCACCCTCCCCTGCAGAATATCTAATTTTTAGTTGTCCATTTATTTTTGTTATGTTGTGTTGTGCTTTACTTATAGGGGAAGTATAGGGGAAAGATAAGGGATTAGGAGGAAAAAAATACTTCCACAATTTAGCTGAGAAAATGGTCATTTGGTCAACTAACTGACACAACTGGTATAGGAAAACAGCCTTGGTACAAGAAGCTCCGTGTGAAATAGCAAGTAGAAAAATAAGGAGTAGTAATCCTGGCACAAGGAAATGAAATCAAATATATCTAGGTGATGCCCTGGAGGCAGCTGAAACTGAGACAGGAATTCAGGAAAAATTCTAGGGTCAGAGTTGAAGGAACAATTTTTGAATGGATGTTCACTGAAGTTACAGGAGCAGATGAGACAGTCCTGGAAAAAAAAAAATGGCTAGAGAACAAAGATGAGTACTCAGAGTAGGACCTTGATGTTCAGGAGGAGAATAAAGGAAGAAATGCCAGCAAAGGAGAGAAATAATCAGGAAGGCACAGGGACAAAAAGAAAAGTACAGAAACTCCCAAACCAAGCAAAGAAAGGTTTCCAAAACTGTGCATTAAATGTCTTAAGAGGATCAGTGAGAATGTGAACTGACAACAGGCCATTTGATCTGGTGGTGGGAGTTAATAGTAGCCTTTAAGAGAATAGTACAAGTGACTAAAGTATAGGTTAAAGGTTAAGTAGTAAGACTGATGTAAAGAACAGAGAGTTGCTTGAGAAGTGAATTGAAATGATGTTATCATTGAGGTTATTCATTTATTTCACAGAGCAGACATGTTCACAGGATTGAACTCATGCTGTGGAGGCTGCTGATATCTTCATAGTGTTGAGACTTAACCCCTTGTTAAGGGAGGCCCTGAGTCATATGGTTTTATAACTAAAAACCTAATTTCAAGTTTCTAGCTCTACCACTTGCTAGTGAGATAAACTTGAAAATCATAGAAATTTAGAATTTCTTCAAATATGAAATATAATTAATAGTATCTCCCCTATTCCCACATGATTATTGTAAGGGAAAAATAGTCGTGCATGTTAAAGGTGATGAGGACCCAGTGACTGCTATTATTTTTTCACTCAACACTTCTAAGTGTTGACTAACTTAAAACCAACTGAACAACCCAGTTTTTGTTGTAATGATTTATAGCTGGGACATGAGTAATTGAGAGAAATTATGAAGAACTGGATAAAAGGCTTAATAAATTCCACTCCAAAGTGATTCTGCTTTGTCAAAAATACAGAGAAAGTCTATAACAACAGAATATAGTTTGAGAACCTACTCATAGGAACAAAAAGTCTATGCTGAAAAGGTGTGTTTGTGTATATCACAGAGCCCCAACCAAACAAGCCACATTATCAAAATCTCACAGGGATGCCCTAAACTTCCTGTGTATTTCAAATTCACAAGTAAAGACATGACGACTAAGAGAGAAAGGTTCTAACACGCCTGGGCCATGATACAAGCACACTCATTCCTACCAGGGGCCTTGATTGGAATTTCCTTCAAGGAAAACTACAGCTGCAAATGTCTCTAGGCTGCTCTCAAGGACATGCTCCCTATAATTATGTTTCAAAGTGTCTAATAATCTATCCACCAAGGAGAATGTTATCCAAAAAAACAATAATAATAATAAAATGATTAAAATAAGCAGAGACTAAATAGTTATAAGTGGAATGCAAATATATAGTTACTCACTCAAAATCTCTACTCAATGGCTATATCCAAGCTCTTCCTATTTGAGATAACTTTAACCTCAAGAGAGTAAAAGAAATATGACCAATAAACTGTTCGCAGACAACTGAACTAATGAGAAATGGCCTTTTAAGTGTGATTTGGTATCTCTTATTGTCTTATGTGTTCATTAATTATTATAAACATTTACTGAATTGAAGTAGTATCTACAAACTGCATGTTCATAAATTTTGGTAAAGGAAAAAAGGGTGACTGAATAGCAGCTTGAAAAGGAAGATCCTTTCTGGCCTGAGGAACATGGGGTGACACAGATATTATTGTAGACATGATGGAATTAATGGAACTCTCCTTCTAGAGTGACACATGTTCTCTCTGTAGCTGGAGTGTGTGTGTCCTATCTAGTGATGGGAGCACCATGAAGCCAGCTACGGGTTGGACTGGAGTGCAGACCCATGCCCAGTAAGTAATTTGGAGTTGTTGTGTCCCTCATTTCTATCTGTAAGTTGGCCTTGACAACTGAAATGCGAGTAGGTGCAGAGTGTCTGATAAGTGTGTGGTTATTTACGAAGCTACCATGTGGTCATAGATAGAGTTGTATATGGGGTGGCACTAAGCTTTCCCTCATGTTACTCCCAAAACTTTACATTTTAATTTAATATTTAAGTTTAATATTTAAATACCTAAAGTTTCTGATGAAAGGCCATCTCACGAGAAAAAAAGTGACACTCAAATTGAATTATAAAATTGTAAAGGATAAACTTCCATGCACAAAAAAACAGAAAGTAAGTTTGAGTTCCAAAATTGAATTTACTATGGAAAAATACAAACATATTTGTTTCTTTCCACAGAGCAGCCACCATCAAATGACCAAGAAAACCATGGGAAAAATGTGCTTCTTTGAAAAGGGTCAAGAGTCAGCTGATGCAGCCACACTCATGAGAGTCCTCTTAAGCCTGTCATTCTCCCAGAGGACAAAGGGTAGAGGGACAATGGCCACAAAATTATATGTAGGCCAATAAACTGCTAACATGTTTTGGGTTTCTTGGAAACTGCTTGATTTCAGGCAGTGCTAAGGTTTGAGTGTAACTTATTCCCTGTTTATTCTAGTTTTGTTTTCTTTTACATTCACAAATAGATCTTCCACTGACACTAGTCCAGTGTTAGTACTGCTATGAATACATAACTGGAATGATTCAGAATGAGGTGAATCTCTGTGGCATCCTGTTTAACCAAAACTTAATTTTTAAATATTTGTTATTAATAAACTTAATAAAACATTGTTTGAAATAACCAGTTTTCAATCCATGTTAGCATTCCTGTAGTACTAATGAAACTTTTAGGTCAAGAGCTTTGGACTGAAGCCAGAAGAAAATGGTATAAAGCTCTACCTGCACTTTCCCCCCCCACACCTGTCCTCCCATCAGACAGAGGTGTGCTGGGGCCCAAAGGCAGTGTCTCTGATAGTCAGTGTTTTTCATCTGGTTTGTCACACCCCTAGCCCATGTTTCTGAGTTTCACTCCATTGAACCCTCACTGTTCCTTAGGAATTAGGAACTTGGCGAGAGAAGGGAAGACCGAGGACAAAGTGAGAGTGAAGCAGTCGAGGGCCCTTGTTACCACTTTCATCCCGGCACTTCTGCTTTCATCAGGTTTACACATAGGTTTTCCAAAAGGGTTTCTGTTTAAGGAAGGCTGTAGCACTTTACAAGTATTGAGAACTCTTAAACTGAAGGATATGTGGAGTCTGCAAGAGTGAACATTTCATGAGACTCTTGCAGGGTGCTAACTTCGGTAATTTCTTGTCCAATACCAAATGGTCATTATGCTGTTCCCTTGAGTGGGGAGCAAGCTGTTCACATTGATAATATATATTATTAACCTGCCCCTTGGCTTCAACCTTGATTATAAAGAACACCTTTCAGTTCTTCCTTTGCCTGCAAAGAAGTCCCTTCAATTGCTCATGTTCTCTGCTGTCCATGAGAATTTCTATTTTCTCTTATCCTCTGAACTCACAGATGAGGAAGTTGTGGCTAGAAATTTAAGGAATAAATATGCTCTTTCAAATCAAGATAATGTATGCTGAAGCAATGTTTAAACAGAAAGATGTTGTTAGAAGAGGAAAGCAGAAATCAAGAAGGTAAGAAAAATGCTGAGAAAGGAAACATGGCAAGCTGGAAAGGTGTTGAAGAACATAAACAGTGTTTCTCAACGTTGAAAGTGTAGGGCTGTGGAGCATGAATAGAGCAGCTGCAGACTTAAAGCCGTTTTTCTCACCAACAGTGGAACAGAGGACACTGTGGATCTTTTCCTGGTCAAGGTTTCAACTGATCTCCCTCACCAAAATGCTTTCTCACATGGACCATGCCATGGAAACGGTGTTGTTCATGGTTCATAGACTTGCTGGGGAAAAAGGCTACTTAACAAAGGAGGGCCTGAGCATATTCAAGGAAAAGCAGTTCCTAGGATTTTGGACTATCAAAAAGAGCCACTGGCAGGAGACCAAAAAGATGAAGGGCCCAAAGTAGTGCCAAGATGGCAGGGTGGGCATCCAGAGCCCTTTTTTCCTAATAGCTGTTCTACAGAATTCTAGCATCAGTCTCCCTGAGCCAATAAAAGGAAACAGAGTTTTAGGAGAAGAAACATGGGACATGGGTTAGTTTGTTGACAGAACTGAAAGGGCCACAGACTCATCTCTGAAAGACCACCATCCTGCTGTTTGGCAGGGTGAAGGGTTTTTTATACAAAGGAGCCAAACAGAAGGGATGTCGGTGAGGGTTGGCATGTTTGATACAGGCATATGAAGAGTTCAGGTGGGTGCCAGCTTGGCTTGTTAACACCTGATGTTTAACTTCCTTAGATGTTTAACTTCCTTATTATCCTTTTCAGGATACCCTCTCTTTTCCCTAGAATACAAGACAAATTTTTTAAATGCAACAGATAGGAATGCTTCTCTGATGGGGCAGGAAGCCAGCCCTGTCCTATTTCACTGCATCAGCTGGGCTCACCATCATGTATAATTTTAACAGGGTGGTCCCCAGGAAAAGGGGTGGTTCCAGGTTTCCTGCCCCACCCAAGGGAGGATGGAGCTGAGCAGAGATGAGTAGCCAGAAGGAGGCCTGAGGGAGGCACATGGAGCAGAGACTTGTTAAAAAGTGGCTCTTCTTTCTTGTCCCTGGATTCTTTGAAACAGATTTGGGTGAGAGGCCCATGGGAAGGTTCACTATGGCCGCATTCACCTTGATTTTGATTTTGCTCTTTCCCTCCCAGACTTGTCTGGCCATTTCTGACTTTTCCATGGGTCCCCGCCAGAAGGTGCTTTAGACTTGTGGTGGGCTTCCAGGCCTTGCTTTGGGCCACTCCCTTTTGGGTAGACTTTTACCCATGAAGGGATGAGTAACTTCAGGTGTCTGATTTAGAAACTATATTCTTTTTCTTTTCTGTATTGCCCACTAATTGTATTAAACTTCCCTTCCATTATATGTTTTGAATTGATGCAGTAGATGGCAGAACCCATTTAGAGCAGGCAGGTTTGGGGGTTCAGTGGTGCTCTCTCACTCCCCTATAAAACAATGACTATTTGGCAGTATATATGAAGCTAAAGGGAAAGAAACAGGCATCCAGGATCAATACCCCTGTTCCCTAAGAGTCTCCCAGAGCGTGCCTTAGGGAATCTGCCCAGTGGCCTCCCCCATATAAAGACTTCACAAGCAGATCAAAACCTTAGAAAATGTACAAATGCAATCCAACACCCTTTGACCAGAAATGATAGAGATTTCAATTCAAACCAGATAAGCTTCTGATTTTTATATTGCTTGCCTCCTCTTGCCCTTGGTACATGATGTCATTTTTTGGAGTTAGTGGGTTTGGAATGTGGGGTCCTTTGGTTCACTATGGGGAACATTTCACCAGAGCTCCCCTTTCAGCGGCACGTGGCACATTCCCCAGGTGAGTTTCTCCATGAGACAGAGATGTCAGTTATATTTAAAAAGTAGGTTTATTAGGGAATGAAACAGAGGAGTAAAGGACACTTGCCTAGGCACCAGAAAGAGCTGCCCCCAAAAGGGAGAGACCTGCATGGTTGCAGGCGGGTGGCCCTGAGAGTGGCCTCCGCTGAGGGAGGTCAGTAGAGATAAGCTCCAGCCTGGCACAGGTCACAGGCAAAGAGATGCTGCCCTGTGGAGGGAGGGAGGGTGGAAAGAAGCACCTACATAGGCACAGGTGAGCAGAACACAGCTGCCCCCGGGCCAGTGCAGAGACTGCACGGATACAGACTTCTCTCTGAGAGGGGCTCACTCCTTGTGAGCCTAGGTTTGTTGTTGATTTTGAATAGAATCTAAAAGGGACAGGAGATCCCACAATGGGCTCAATCTGTACCTTTTGGATCTGCGACAAACAGAGCCTACCACAGTCTGCTACCTGCTTTATAACCTAGGAATTGGTCCTAAAGAACTTGCTTTCTGTAGCTGGGTGAACAGCCATGCTAATCCCTTCTACCCCAAATCCTTGGGCAAGTCCACCTTGTGATTCCTCTTTTCTATTCCTTTATCCATCAGTATACAATTTCCTTTATAAAAAAATACCCATAAAACTATGATTTCACAAATATGATTGTGAAGTCAGTTTTGAAGATACAGGATTTGGAGAATGGGGTCCTTGGGTTAACTCTGGGAAGTTTCACCAAAGCTCCCCTTTGAGCAGAACTGGCAAGTTTACCTGGTGAGTTTCTCCAGGAGACAAGAGGAGGCACTAAAGTTTGGCAAAAGTCATGATGGAGGTTGTGTTACAGGGCAACCCACTGTGAATTGGGTTGCATAATGAAGGCAGGTCAGGAAATTTGGAGCTAGACCAGCATCAGCCTCTCTCCTGCTGTAGTACCTTCTACTAAAACTAATATGTGCAACTTTTAAATTGTTAAAGTCATCTTAAGGTCTTATCAGATGTCTGCTTACTAATTAGCCCCCTCATATGGTAACTGGTGCACAGAAGATGCTAAATAAGACCTTCCGAGTGAATTCATACTTAGGTGAGTGCATGCATATGAAGAATAAACAATTGGTACCTAGCCTTAAAGAACAAGATATGCTACTTGGGGAATCAGGACAATTAAAAATAAGACCCTGGGGAAGGGGAGGGAAGTGCACGGGACTATGGTGATGGCACAGGGTGACTTGGTGATGGGAAACACAGCGGGATTACAATTGAGATGGAAAAAAAAATGTACAAAATGATGTAAAAATAAACTATTATATTAAAAAAAAGAACAATAAAAAAAAAAAAATAAGACCCTAGACTCATATGTGGTCTTTAGCCAGGCCTCACCTAGTGCATTTTGCCAGCCTCATCTCAACTGACACATTCTGACAGGTTTTAAAGAAGGACTCTGTTATCCTATGATACCGATGAACAGTGTCTATGTGGAGTGGGGGTTTCTCTCATACTCTACCTGAAGACAGGGGTGTCTATGTGGAATGGGAGTTTCTCTCATCCTCTACCTGAAGACACGGGTGTATATGTGGAGTGGGGGGTTTCTCTCATACTCTACCTGAAGACAGGGGTGTCTATGTGGAATGGGAGTTTCTCTCATCCTCTACCTGAAGACAGGGGTGTATATGTGGAGTGGAGGGTTTCTCTTATACTCTACCTGAAGACAGGGGTCTTCTCAGCCAAGACTCTCAAATCTGGGCTTGGACGAAGACAGGAAAGTCAAGGTGCTATGGAAAGAATGTTACAGGCAACTACGTAAAGGCACAAGGGAATCCTGCTGAACCTGGGAGAGCTGCCTCAAACTGAATGCTTGCAGAGTTGACTTTTGGGCACAGAGTGCCAACATATACCCTCTACTGGTGATACTTTTGGGCACAGAGTGCCAACATATACCGTCAATACCGGTGAGTAAATGGGCTCTCAGATAAGCATTTGCAGATTTGCCTCCTTTGACAAATTTATGATGGAATTGGTTTTCCCAGAGCTCTTAACTGACTGTGGGTTTACTTTTTTTCCTCTTCTTTCTTTGCAGTTTCTCTTGACAGGTTTAGGGTCAAGGAAAGGAATCCCAAACAAAAGCAAATAGTGAGTAAGCTCACTCTTGGGCACCGACTCCTCTTCCTCCCTGTGCTGCCCCCCCCCCATTACTCTTGCTGATTCCCCATTTTTGTTTGTCTTTGTGTAAATAAAGGCTGGTGCCCACTGGTCTCCATCCCAGCACTAACTTTTACTTCCTCCCCTTTGCGGACTCTCACCCATCTCCCCTTTTTCTTTGTTGAACATTGTATAAATAGCCCTGTAACTTGCCAAAGAGCCGGACGGTGGTCTTTTGGATATGAGTCTGCTGCCCTCCTCATTTGTCAACAAATAAAGCCACTTTCCTTCTCCATAAACTCTGTTTCCTTTTATTGGCTGAGGGAAACTGAGACCAGAGTTTGGTAAAAACGAGGGTGGGGAGGGAGGCCTGGGGGGGGACCCAAGGTGCATGCAAAACTCACAGCACATCACAACAGGCACAATCAAATAGCAAAGCCCATTTTTTAAAGGTCACAAAGTACTCTACGATCAGGGTCTTCTCAAATACAGCATCAATAGAAACAAACTTGAGAAGACAACTGCGTACCCCTGGGAGGGTGTCTACTTCACACAGGTACTATTTGATATTAATCATAAGATTGCAACACTAAGCAAAACCAAATAATCTGCTCAGAGTCACCCTTTGTGATTGCTCAGGCCATTCATTGCTAATCAAAAGGATGTTGTGAAACATGAGTCAGATAGCCTCTGGCTCTCCAGAAGTACAAGTGCTCTGCATATAAAGGAGCTTCCTAGTTGTGCTATTAAGGCAGCTGGCAGGTGATTTCCTTCAGCTGAGAAGAAAGACAGAGACTAGCATGTCCAGCCTTCCTCTGCTGCTGCTGCTTTGGGCCATGGGCTCTCAAGGCTTCCCAGCAACTTCAGAGCAAGATATGGAGACAGTTCAGGTAAAAGCTGCCTGACACATGCCAGAAACACTAAAGCCTTATTTTTTCCTTTTTCTTCTACAGTATAACAGTGATAGTAATATACCGGACTTTATTTAAGGGTATTATCTCCTACAGAAAGAAATTTCTGTCTGGAAATGTATTTAACCAAGTTGTCTCTTTTTCCAACTGGAGGTTGGATCAACAAACAGTGTGCTGATGCGGTTCTACATAGTTTAATTCTGACTTCACAGTAATCAATGGTAGGGAAAACTCAACTCTGAAATTATATTTGAATTAATAGAACAGTAAGAACTATAAAATCTAAACACAAGCTTGAATAGTTCTCTGTTTCCGCTTAAATATTATACTGTCCATTTTTAAACAAGTCAGAATGATTTTCCAACCAGTGTCTCAATAATTTTATTTTAGAAATATCTGGAAAACTACTACAACCTAAACATTGATGGAGAGCATATTAAAAAGCAGAAAAGCCATGACACACTGGCTGAAAAGCTGAAGCAAATGCAGGAATTCTTTGGGCTGAAGGTGACTGGGAAGCCGGATGTTGAAACTCTGAAAATGATGAAGCAGCCCAGATGTGGGGTGTCTGACATGGCCTTCCGCTTTAAACTTACTCCAGGGAATCCTCGATGGGAACATACACACCTGACCTACAGGTAACCAGACTGAGCACCAGTGTGAGAATCTGTTTCCTATCACAGTCATAATATAGGTCTGATGTGTATTTTTATTTGATTTTAAGGATCGAAAATTACACACCAGATTTGCCAACAGCAGATGTGGACCATGCCATCAACAAAGCCTTTCAACTCTGGAGCAGAGTCTCACCCCTGACCTTCAGCAGGGTCTTTCAGGGTCAGGCAGACATAATGCTCTCCTTTGTCTGGGGAGGTAAGCCCTTCCCCTTGCGTGAGAATATTCCTACCTTAGTGCTCACCCTGCCACTAAATCTCTTCAGCTTTGTGCCTGGAATTCTTTGTTAAGAGGAGTGTTAACCTCCCATTTAGATTAGGGAGGGTGCTACATTACATGCTATGAATTCTGGTGGTCTCTTAGAAAGCTAATGCTTGTACTGCTGGGTCAGCCTAAATAGAACCACAAAGGACCCTGCTGGAATTGTTTCTTGCAGATCACCGTGACAACTCTCCCTTTGATGGACCAAATGGAAACCTTGCTCATGCTTTTCAACCAGGCCCAGGAATTGGAGGTGACGTTCATTTTGATGAAGAGGAAAGGTGGACCACTGATTCCAGAAGTGAGTCAATGCATTTTCCCAATCTCAGTTCCACCTCCCCTTCATGGTTCACTGCGACATTAGTATATTTAACTGAAAGAATGCATGTTTAATACTGCTACTGAGAAAATTAATGCTACGTTGAGAAACATGTGAGAGAAGGATACTGCTATTATTAACAACTGTTGCCTACAAATAAGCCACTCTCAAATTTCTGTTTAAAAGATATTGGAACTCTTAATGTTCTATTTGTAGGCATCTCGTAGAATTTGTTTTTTGGTTTTTGGTTTTTTTACTAAAAAGACATACCAGAATTTAACACTGGTATCTAGACTATGGAAATTGTAAGACTATGTGGAAATTAAAGGAATTAAAGGAAGAGAAGGTTGTGTTTTCTAATATTTCTAGCAGTTAACAGGTATCAGATTTGTATTTTTGTATTTAGGGAAAAATATATTGACTGAACTCTACTGCTTCTCTGAAATAATATGTCCCATCAACTCACTAGTAAAGTTGCCCAATTTGTGCTAGACAATCAGCTGAGTTTTTCTTTTTCTCAGTTTCATTATAGAGAGTTTAGGATTGAACATATTTCTTAATAAATGCATTCCTCGAGCCTTCAAAAAAGTTTTATATATATTTCCAACTGTAATCAAGGAAATAGGAGGATTTTGTTGTTGTTGTTGGGTGGTATGTGACTTTTTAATTAAATGTCTCTGAAAGATGAAAACATTTCAAATAGCTGCAAACAACTTTATTGGCCCATTTAGATTACAACTTGTATCGCGTTGCGGCTCATGAATTGGGTCATTCCCTTGGACTCTCTCATTCTACTGATATTGGAGCTTTGATGTACCCAAACTACATCTTCAGTGGTGATGTTCAGCTAAATCAGGACGACATCAATGGCATACAGGCCCTATATGGTGAGGATAAGAAAATTATCTGGGCTGTGGAGTCACTGAAACAGCCATAATCTACATAATGGAAGGCACGGTCGCTTGTTTTCTATGTAGTTTTCTAATGCCAAAACTAATTCCAGATCTTTTTTTTTTTCTTTAGGACCTTCCAAAAACCCTATTCAGCCAAATGTCCCACAAACCCCACAAGTGTGTGATAATAAGCTCACTTTTGATGCTATAACTACAATTCGGGGAGAAACAATGTTCTTCAAAGATAGGTGAGTCCTAAGGTTCTTGTTGTTTCGTATTTGTCATAATGACAACACTCACTACTCTGGGTCTCTGTGGGCCACCACTGAGCTTGACATGAATTTATCTTACACGTGTTAACATACACAGTATGGCAGCAATTGTTTGCATTTCCACATGATGAACTAACAGCAAATTTATTTTCCCACGTGTATTCTGCTATTTGACCCTCAAGAAGATATACCACTGGGGAAAAATAAAATCAGTAAATATAGTCCCATTTTACAAATCAGTAAAGTTAGGCAGAGAAAAGAAAAGAGAACTTTTCAAGGTTCTGAAAAAAAAAATCAAAATTGATGTTTTGAAATTATTTTGCTACAGTTTACTATTTCCTTAAACTCTCAAGGTTGTTTATATCTGATGTTTGTGTATAACAGAAATACAAAGGTGCCCTACCACGAGTGCCCTGAAGCCTATAAGCTAAGTCTCCACCCACTCCCATCTTAGAGAGCCAGATGTTAAATATTTACCAACACACCACAAGTGCCAGCGATAGGGAACTGAATGCCAGCGAGAAAATGTCATCACTCAGATCAAATCTTTTTTTCTTTTTTACAATTCAGATTCTATATGCGCGTAAATTCCTTTTACCCAGAAGTTGATCTCAACTTCATTTCTGTTTTCTGGCCACATCTGCCCAATGGATTTCAAGCTGCTTATGAAGTTGTCTATAGAGATGAAGTCCGGTTTTTCAAAGGTAATGTTTACAGTTCCCTTTCACTTTGTTAAGAATTAATTTTTCATCTATATCAGGGTTGAGATATGAGAGTACTGCCTACTTTCTCTCCATGGGCTTTTAAAAAGCTCACAGTTTCATCTACCAGTGAAGAAAAGTCTATCACCTTAACTAAGAATTGTACAAAATACCTCTGAGTTATTTTAAATAAGAAGTGTAAGAATCGATGCAAATAAGACATTTTCTGACCTGTTTATGAATTTGGACTTAGGAAAGTATTTTCTATGCAAATTACTTGTATATCTTAAGTCTCTCTATATGCCAGTGTGACAGGAATAAAATGGAGAAGTTTAGGTCAGTACCATAGAGAAAACAGAACTAAACATTTGAATCATGTGATTCCTGAGAGCCTATAATATATACATATGACTCTGCAGGCTTGCTGTAAACATAGAACTCTCACACCAGCAGCAATTAGAAATAAAGAAGTTTATATAAAGTTCTCAAGGTCCAACCTCATTATCAGCTCCTATACCACAACTTCCTGAATTTTAACAAGATTTCCAGGCAACTAGTATGTATATGAAAATGTAAGTCCTGATTTACCATGAATTGAATGGTAACTTCTTTGATTTTATCATGATGAAATGCAGATGATGATCAGCTTTTAGTTTAGAAGACATTATACCCAACACTAGTATTTCTGCAGATACATGTATGGCAAAGTCCAAATGTTAAGACACGTGACCCACTTTTATTCTTAAAGCAATGAATTTAGCACTTCTGAGACACAAAACTTGGAAACAGACTTTCTGTTTCATGAAATCACACACGATTTTAGACACACCAAGCCTCAACTGCTTTTTCTACAGGGGGTAAAAAAAACCTACTTGTGCCATAAAACCGAACCTGACTTCAAGACATAACAATAGTTTTATATGATGTGGGGCTTTCTAGATATAAACATACAGACTCTGGATACCACATAAAGTCAAATATTTGGAACTGCATTCTGCAGATGCAATGATTTTTACCTGGGATTGCAAGTCATTGAGTCACTACAATACTCCAGCTATTAGGATACCAATAGCCCCTGTACAACCTGAGGGAATGAACTTTATAAGGCTGAGCTGCCAGAAGTAAACTCCTTAGTCATCTGAACATCTGGCTTTGCAAAGATGCCCATAGTCCTATAAACTAGCCATTCACACACTTTGCCACAGATTTGAATCATCTAATAAACCTTAAAATGCATACTGACTTAATCAGTCTAAGTTAGGATAATGGCATCAGTATCTTCACAAAGCTTCCCAGGTAAGTGTGCTGTGCAGCCAGGACACTGCAGCTGCCTATGAGACAAAAAGCTAAGAAGGAAATCTGCTTCCTGTCTACTGGTGTCTTGGGCAAGTGTTTTCATCCCTGTTTCTTAATTAACAGGTAACAAATACTGGGCAGTTCAGGGGCAATATGCACTATACGGATACCCCAAGGACATTTACAGCTCCTTCGGCTTCCCCAGAAGTGTGAAACACATTGATGCCGCTGTTTCTGAGGAAGAAACCGGAAAAACATACTTCTTTGTTGCTAACCAGTACTGGAGGTAAAGGCCAAATACAGAAAATATTTGGGCACCACTTATTTCTATAGAGACAACATTCTAGAATGAATGATTTCAGCATGAGTCTCGTGTGGCCTTGGCCAGTAGCCTTTCCTATGAAGCCTGTAGTCAGTCCAGCTTCCAAGTCTAATGATCAGTCTTCACCTTTCAATATGAATACATGAAATGCATGCAATCAGGGAAGCACAGAGCTGAATTTGAAAAGGATATTAAAAGGAAGGTACATAGTTTCATAGTTATTTTAACCAACAGAAACTTACCAGACATCACAGTGACTTTAACAGGGAAGTGTATAGAGAACTAGAATCCATGCTGGGGTTCAGAGGAACCCAAACTCTTATTCTCCCTTACCCATACTCCCCACCTCATTTTTCACATGATCTACAGAATTAACAGTTTTCATCTATTCCTGCTGGTTAATGAATTTGAGAAGTCTAAATATTTAATAACGGTTCTAACACTTTTTTTTTTAACTAGGTATGATGAATATAAAGAATCCATGGATGCAGGCTATCCCAAAATGATAGCAGATGACTTTCCTGGAATTGGCAACAACGTTGATGCTGTCTTCAAGAAAGATGGTAAATGAATATATTTATGTATTTCCTCTATGATGTTGCTATAGAAACATTAATGTTATTTGGAAAATCAAATGCCACAAATATTTGTCCTTTAAAAATAACTTGGGTTCTTCAAGAATCCAAGGTAAACCTAGAAATCATTTGTATAATGTGATTAAGTCTCTTTTGTTTTATTTCTAGGATATTTCTATTTCTTCCATGGAACAAGACAATACAAATTCGATTCTAAAACTAAGAGAATTTTGACTCTCCTGAAAGCAAACAGCTGGTTCAACTGCAGAAAATAATTGAGCAACTATCACAAAGTGAACATAAAAATACATTTCAGTAGCCCGAGGAAAATGTTTTCCGAAAGAGCCATGAACTGAAATACAATACAGTGTTTATATTATTATTACATTTCATTCTGCATGTTTTTCACAATTGAAACTGTAATGTGTCCCATGAAACTGCTATAATTCAGCCATAAATGATGGTGAGGAAACTTCATGACTAGTTTAGTCACATGGTCCAGTTTTACAAAGAGTCTCTGACACATTGGTCCTGGGAACAACCTCAGTGATAAGCATCTATTTCAAGAGAAAAAGAGACAAGAGATAAGACTCTTCACCTGAGGAAAAGCCCTTCAAGAACATGTGAGCAGCCACTTCTTGTATCATGCTAACATTCAGGGGACAACTTTTATTACAGAAAATAAAGTGTTTTATGTTTGGAATAGAGCCATTGTCTGTGCGCTTTTATAATCTTAGATTTAAATCTGTTTCAGTCTACTGTTAATTCCTGGTTAGAAAGTCACATCTTACAGAGATCAACTCCCATATCTGAAATGGGAATTAGAAAAATATTCACCATTCGCCTGGAACTGACATCCCACAGGACAGGGAAGAGGGATCTACTTCCAATGTCCATTCAAGGATCCTAAACTGATTTAAAAGAGCAGGGACAGTAGAGTAGAGCTTTCAAAGGGCATATACGTTTCCTTTTCTGATCCCAGGAGAAGGTTACATTTCCCATGGTCCAACAACATGAACTTGTGGGGAAAGTGGTGGGCCCTGGCTCTCACTCATCCTGACCATCCAGAGGAAACCAGTATCACTTTCAGATGGAAACACTGACTGCTGGCGCCAATGTGTCCCATGCTCTCCCCTTTGCTGCAGCGATTGGTGCAGAGTTCCTAAAAGATACCTGCCTCCCCTCCATGCCTCAACAGATTGTGCTTAAGCAAGAAATGAGTTTTATTGGAAAAGCCACTGAGATGTTAGCTACTGTTAGAGCTGCCTAATCTGGTTTACTGCATGAAATAAGCACTATCCAGCTGATCATGATTGATTTGGGAGGACATTAATGTTAATAGGAGTCCTGCATGTGGCTTCCATGTTCCACAAGTTTGTTTTATGAGAACTTCACAGCATGCTCAGTAGTGTCTGTAGAGACTTTCAAAATGCCTACAGACTTGAAAATAGTTTAAGATACTTATTGATTCTGAGACAAGCAGTTCTTAAAACAAGCATTTGGAAAGTCCTGAACCTTTCCTTTGGACAGATCTTTTCTCTCATCATTATTTTTAAGCTGAAGTGTAATATAAGAAGAGAAAACAACACTCATCATCACTGTTCATATCACTGAATGGCAAAAAAACTGACAAAGTCTAGACCAAGAAACAGAAGAACACCATCACCAGAGCCCCCACCCCCATCACTGCTCACACTTAGCCTCACTCCAATTCATGATCAGAGGCTAAAATTGGAATTATTTGGCAAGCAGTGCTGTCAGGAGAAGTGGGAGACATTTTAAAGCAAGTTGAAAACATGGTCTTAGAGAGAGCCCTGATCTCATGGACAAGAAGTCAGGGGCAAAAATTAAACCATGGTTAACTCCACTGGTTGTTAAGGAAGCAGAAAGGCCAAGAATGGCCAGGATGTTCATGAAGAGAATGATGAGGAAAAATATCCTGCTTTAGAAAGCTTAACTATTGATTGATAAGATGATTTAACCATGCAGGACTATCCAGAATTGTTGGCTCCTTTGCAAACTTGTTTTTGTAAATGATTACTTCAAAGTGTTCTACTGACATTGTGATGTTCAGAAACAATTCAGGTCTGGTGTGCGTGGGTGTGGTGTAATAAAATAAAAGCAAAGAAACTGACAAGATTCCATTACCAAATTCATTCAAATGTGGGTTGAGTTCTAAAATGTTCAGCAGCACAGATTGGGTTTGGTGATCAATCAAAAAGTATCTAAGAGGAAGTGCCCAATAATGATTTATTGATGGAAGCTTGAGAGAGATCTTGGTAAGAAGTGCAGATTATGAATTCATCAGCAATTATAAGAGATCTTGGTAAGAAGTGCAGATTATGAATTCACCAGCAATTATAAGAAATAACCACCATAAGACTCAGAAAAGGCAGAACACCAGAGTTATGTACTCATTTATTTGTTTGTTCACTCATTCAAGAATATTTATTAATGCCAGCTATGAACTGGGTATTGGGTTAGAGGTTGGAATAAAACCCAAAACATCCTTCTTGCCACAGCAACATACCAAAAATCATGTATAAAACCAAAAGTTTTTATTAAAAGTTTGGGTGTTTCTTTTTCAAGAGATCAGTTCTGGGCTGTTAGAGAAAATGAGGTACAAGTAGATTACCCAAGAGGCATACCCTTTATTTCCCTCCAGCTATAAAAAAAAAAAAATTGATGCAGCCATTTCTGATAAGGAAAAGAAGAATCTTTTTTTTTTTTTTTTTCTCCTCAGAGAACCACTACTAGAGGTAGAATATAACAGGAGAACTTTGTATGGAGCCTAATTCAAGAAATTATCTCCTTTCTTGAATGAAACCCCCCACTTCTCTTAACTTCCAACTTTCTGACTATGTAGAAGATGATTTGTAGTTATATAAAGGCTCTTAGAACAGTTGGTCCTTGGGTCATGTATCCTAATGCCAACAGGAGGGCAGGCAATGGGGCTCATGAGGAAGTTCAGGGGTACACAGAAGCAGGGTTGACAGGATGTAGACACAGGTCTACCAGTCAAGTGAGAGAGCACCAAAAGTTTATTTTTAGCCAAATAGTTGACCTGACTAAAAACAGAAAATCAAGCAAATCACAAAAGCATCTCCATACATCCTGACCCTAATTTTCCAGTACTTCAGAACTCAGCTCAGGAGTCACTTTCCTGAGACACACTGCTCTCTCAAATAGTCTAGAGACATGCCCTCGTGCTCCCAAAATACTTGTCACACTCGACTGCAATGATTGCCTCCAAATTACCCAAATCGGGCTGCCACTTCCTTGAAGCATTTGCCACTCTGACTCAAGGGCACAGTAAATGGCATGATGAGTGTGCGCAACAAAGGATGGTTAAATGAGCCGTTAAATGGGTCCCTAAGCCTAGTGAGGAAGTAATGTTTGACTGTAGAGCAAAGAATGACTGGAAGCTGTCAGCTCCACAAATCTGGAGAGGAAGGGCTTTTTCAGAACAGGGAGCCACGTGAGCAGAAGCATGGAGGTGTTAAGATGACAGGCCATGTGCAGGGTCTTGAGGTGCTTGGCTAGAATCAAGAAAAGAACAGGCACTTTCTATGTATATTTGGGAGAGAAAATGATTCTCTATTCTACTTGTCAACTTATAATTGAGAGCATGCAATTTTACTCAATAAATGAAATAACTGAGCTCTATGAAGTTCAAAGCTAACATTACCTATACACTGAAGGATCAATTTACCCTGTACACTTATTTATTCAATTATTCCTTAGATGATCATCTAATCACAGCATCAAATCCATTACTGAAGTAGACAGTCTGTAAATTTCAAAATAATGTGCTCGGGCAGTTAGAAAGCAAACTGCGGCCCTCTCTGGTGGCACAGCAAGTTAAAAAGCGCAGCACTACAGTGAGGCACAGCCACTTCAGTGCAAGTTCAATCCCAGGTCCTGGAAGAGCTCCACATGGCACAGCACACCTCCCCTGATTTGCCCTTTGCTCCCCTCAGCAGTGTACTTTGTCAATCTGCCTGTTCTGCTCCCCACTCTGTCTCTGGTGAATCCTCTCACTGCCTCTACACCTCCGGCTTGTACCCCAGTTCTGTATGCATAAATAAATAAATCTAAAAAAAAAAAGAAGAAGAAAGAAAGTAAACAGCACCATCCTCTGCGGTGATATGTATACAACATTTTCTCAGCAGCTCAGCAGACAAAGACTATTTCAGCAAATATGTGGGGGAAGAAATGACCTAGTCCCGCAAAGATTCAATCAAAGGAGATTTTTTTGTTTATGTATTGCAATTTAGGAATAAATCACTCCAGACTTAGTGGCATAAAATGGCTATCCCCCTGGTCCTGTGGCTGACTGTTCTTATCTGTGCTGTTCCTCAGGCTCGTTAGCCTTTGTCATCTGTGGTTAGTGGAGCCACTGAAGCATCTCCACTCTTGGGAAAGAGAAGAAACAGCACGGGCACCTCCTTCAGACTCTCCATCTGGGTGGCCTGGGCTTGCTCACAGTGTGCAGTCTCAGCAAACAGATGTTGTACACGGTGACTCAGGACCCCAAGAGCAAGTATTCTGAGACTAGTAGTAAAGGATGCCCATTCTCTAAACTACTACATCATTATTGCCTTATTTTAATGATCCAAGTAATAACAGATATCACCCAAACACAAGAAGAAAGGACATAGAGCTCTCAAAGGCCCAGGATGATGGAGTTTAAAAAATGAGAGTAACTTTTTATGTGCAAATGAGAACTGACAGACTCCTACCAACTTGATGCCTGTGAGGTCAGCAAGAATCACAGTTCTTTGGAACATGCTTCCTGGAGCATGAACCTGGCAAGGGAGGGACGAGTTGATGTCCAGAAGCTAAACTGTAAATGATTATGTCAGTAAGGTTTTCCCAACAAGATTGGAAGGGTGGCAAATCAGCAAAACCAAAAATTTGGTTTTGCAAGATGTATGATTTTAGTACACAATTTATCAGTTCTGGAAACATGCCATTTTATCAATTATTCTTAGAATCATAGTAAACTCACCAGGATAATGATGATAAAGGAGCACATATCATATGGCCATCTCTTGGGCAAGGCTCCCAGATTTACTGAGGAAATGATTCATTGTGTAGTTTACAATGTGATTTAGTAGAAAATACTTGTGTCTTTGTTTTGTCTCACTGTACAGAAGTAACTTCCTCAAGAGTCATATTTCCTTTAAGAATTTGAAATCCACTTGAATGATCTCATCCTATTCCATGAATCATTTCCCAATTGTTTTCTTTCCAAGAATGAAAGCAATTCAGC